AAACCAACCCACCATGGTTGAAGTCCTAAACTTGGCATTGGTGCTCGTATTTTTCTTGGTTTATTTCAGTGAGAGAGACGTTTCCCTCAACTATGAGGGTACATGTGGTGACTTCGTCAATCTCAAAATATTGTGCTACCTCGGTCACTCGAAGGTGCTCATAGGGGTTGTGTGGGCATCTGCGTTGTACTGTGTCAAAAAAGTTCGCAATTTTTTATGCATAGTATGAAAATGTATTTCATGATACATACGTAACACACCACCACCGCCACCTCTCTCTCTCTCTCTCTCTCTCTCTCTCTCTCTCTCTCTCTCTCTCCCGCATCGAACAAGGGACCTCCCTCTCACGTCGCCTCCCCCGCGGGCGGCTTGGGAGGGCTCAGCCGCCACCGCCGCCTAGTAACCCTCCAGCGCCCTTCTTCCCCTCCACCGTTGCCAATGGTCGGCTCCGGGCAAAGCCCGTGCGTGCGACGGCGGCGGCGGAGGGTCTCTCCTCCCTCTCTCGGAACCGCGGCGACTTGGGCGTCCTGATCCGCGGGGTGCGGCCCCCCCGACGGTGTGGCGGATCCCGGAGGCGGCGGTGCACGGGCGCCCAGATCCATGGGTGTGGGATTCCCGACAGCGTGCGGGCTCCCGGCGGCGGCGGGATCGGTCGACGATGGGATTGGGCGATGGCGCCGCTCGCGTGGTGTTGGATCTCATCGCTCATGGCGGATCTCGCCACTCCGGCCATCATGGAGGAACCTGGACCTGGGGCGGCGGCCCCGTTAGGCATGGTGATGGCGCCCTCGGCTGGCGACGTTCGCGGGGGGTGGATGGACGGCGTCTTGACCACGTGGGCAGTGAGTCAACGGTGGATCTCCTCTGCGCTGCAGGCTCTCTCCCGCTGCAGTTGGTGGCTTACGATCGCGGTCGTCGGCCTCGGTGCGTTCGCGGGGGCTGGTAGAGGTAACATCGGACCGGAGGAAACTCTGGATGACTCGTTCATCCTGATGGTGGCGACGACCAAGGTCGCCGTTCTCCTCCTTGCAGGCGCCGTCAAGGTCCCCGCCCTCCACCCCGACCCCATGCCAGGGTGAAAACCCAGAATCTCCTTAGATTGGGCGTCGGTGGCACTGCATGTGTCTTACCCTTCTTGGAGGCGCCGCCTGAGGCATTTGGGTGCTCGGTTAGAGGAACTGCGGGCGGAGGGGATGGGACCAGTGGCAGCAGGTGTTGTTCGCGAACGAGGAGTGGCGTGGCATCTGGCACGTCGACAATGGCGGGTCTCAGCGGCATGAAGCAGCGCGGTCTCGCCGATGGGCGTGTGATGATGGACGAGCGCAAGATGGTGGCGTTGTCTGGCATCGTGGTGGCGTCGACGGCAGCTAGACCGGACAGGGTCGATGCCTCGGTACAGCTTTGAAGATGGAACGGTGGAAGACGGCGGCGGCAGCCTCGGTGAGTGCGTCGGACCGGTGTGTGACCCGGTCCAGGTATGTGGCCTGGATGGGGCATCCGACACTAGATGCTAGGATTTGGTGCGAAGTATATCTGGTATTAGGCTCGGACATTCGGTACCACTGCATCAAGAGGATAGGAGTAGCGACAGGTGTTGCCTTGAGGATGGCTTCAAGCTTACTGATGTACTTCCTTATAAGGTCTTTTGTGAATAATTAATAAAGTGGCTGCGTGCATTGTCGAGATGCAGAGGCCGAGGGTGCTTGTATTTCATAAAGAATCTCACGAGACTACTTTGACGTTTTAGGTGTTAGTATTTTTGTAGACTTGATCAAACTTAAAACAAATTTTACTTGAGACAGACCATTAACTACAGATAGAGTTACTTGTTGTTCACAAAGATTTATAACTCTGAAAAAACGGTTGGAAACATGTGGAACGGCTCAACCCATTTTCCTAATAATTTAGCAATTTATATTTCCTCCTCAACTCGATCATTTCTCACGCCTATAAAAAGCTCAGCAACCCAGAGCAGAACCTCCACGGCAACAACCCCTCCGAAAAGCGGAAAAGCCACGATGACCAGGCCTCACACTGGTAGTGAGTCACCACTGGTGGTGCATCTGCTGCTGTGTTGCACCTTTCTCCTGGCCGCCGCTGCTCCGGCGACCACCGCAGCCTCCGTTCCCGCCCCTGCTCCGACCCCGACGAAGCAGAACATGACGTGGGACGTGGAGTACATCATGTGGTCGCCGGACTGCCAGCAGCGGGTGATGATCGGGATCAACGGCAAGTTCCCCGGCCCGAACATCACCGCCCGCGCCGGCGAGACCCTCAGCATCACCGTGAACAACAAGCTGCACACCGAGGGGCTGGTGATCCACTGGCACGGGATGCGGCAGGTGGGCACGCCGTGGGCGGACGGGACGGCGTCCATCTCCCAGTGCGCCATCAGCCCGGGGGACTCGTTCACCTACGAGTTCGTCGCCGACAAGGTAGGCAACGTCGCAACCGAACAAAACCCCGTACCCGGAATGGCCGGGCACGTGGAGAAGACCCAAGGAACTCAACTGAACTGAACCAAATTTGTCCGCTTGTGCAGCCGGGGACCTACTTCTACCACGGGCACTTCGGGATGCAGCGGGCGGCGGGGCTGTACGGGTGGCTCGTCGTGAACGCCACGGCGGAGCAGGACGAGCCGTACCGGAGGGACTACGACGGCGGCGAGCTCCGCATGCTGCTCAGCGACTGGTACCACGACAACGTGTACGCGCAGGCGGCCGGGCTGGAGCAAAAGTACGATCACTTCCAGTGGGTCGGCGAGCCGCAGACGATCCTCATCAACGGCAGAGGGCAGCACGACTGCATGCTGGGCACGGTCACGAGGTTCCACCGGGGCATCGACAGGCACGCCAAGACCTGCGTGAGGGACAAGCAGGCCAAGCTGTGCAGGGACGAGGAGAGGTGCCTCCGGCGGAGCGAGTGCGGGCCCTACTGCCCGCAGAGCCAGTGCTACCCCGTGGTGTTCGACGTGGAGCCTGGCAGGACGTACCGGCTCAGGATCGCCAGCACCACCTCACTCTCTGCTCTCAACGTGCAGGTCCAAGGGGTAAGAAAGAAAGACAACCATTTCTTTTTCCATTCTTTTTTTTTGAACTTCTTTTTCCATTCTTCTTCAGTGAGAAATTACTTATTGATGGTGGGGGTAATTTTGAAGCACGACCTGACGGTGGTGGAGGCCGACGGCAACCCCGTGGAGCCGTTCACGGTCCCCGACATCGACATATACTCCGGCGAGAGCTACTCCGTGCTCCTCACAACCAACCACACGCCGACGTTCTACAGGTCGGGGTCCTTCTGGGTCTCCGTCGGCGTGAGAGGACGGCCCCCCAAGACGCTGCCGGCCACCGCCGTCCTAAGGTACACCAACAGCAGGTTCCCGTGGCCAGGCAGCCCGCCCCCGGCGACTCCGGCGTGGTACGACCTGCAGCGCAGCAAGGGCTTCACCTACAGGATCAAGGCCCGGAGGAACGCCGCCGAGGCGCCGCCGCCGCCGCGGACCGAGCAGGTGAACCGGACGATCGTCATGCTCAACACGCAGACCCTGGTGGGCGGGCACATGAAGTGGGCCGTCAACAACGTGTCCCTGACGCTCCCGGCCACCCCGTACCTCGGCGCCTACTTCTACGGCGTCCAGGGCAGCGCGTTCGACGCCTCCGGCGAGGCGCCCAACGGGTTCCCCGGCGGGTACGACATCGACCTGCCGCCGGCGAACAACAGCTACGAGGCCACGCTCAGCGACCGGGTGTACGAGCTGCCGCACGGCGCCGTGGTGGACGTGGTGCTCCAGAACGCGGACATGCGGAGGGACAACGACAGCGAGACGCACCCGTGGCACCTGCACGGCCACGACTTCTGGGTGCTGGGGTACGGCGAGGGGCGGTACGGCGGCGGCGGCGGCGGCGAGCGCCTCAACACGGAGGACCCGCCGCTGCGGAACACGGTGGTGTTGTTCCCGCACGGGTGGACGGCGATCCGGTTCGTCGCCGACAACGTGGGCGCGTGGGCGTTCCACTGCCACATCGAGCCGCACCTCCACATGGGCATGGGCGCCGTCTTTGTCGAAGGGGCCCACATGATACGCGAGCTCGACGTGCCAAGGGAGACCATGATGTGCGGGGTGATCAGGACGGCGGCCGCATCCCTGACTCCCGCTAAGCCAGGCTCGCCGGCGCCATCGGCTCATGGATAAGCTCCTCCTCGCATGCCTGTTCCAATGTATCCGTGGTCATTTGTCAGTGCGCAGTGCAAAACAAAGGCCTTCCAGTCAGAACTCCAAATATCAGTAGTTGGCAAATGTAAAATGTTTTTCACTGCACATTCTCACTGAATAAAGTTTTATTGATAAAGAAAAATGTCTGCTTTCTGATAAACGTCGTCTTACAATGAAAAGATAATTGTTCTGAAATTTTCATTGATTGGCCAATTAATTTTAAGATTCAGGTACATAGTTACTGTACTATACCAAGTAAGAGAGTAATTTTTATTGATTGGCCAATTAATTTTAAGATTCAGGTACATAGTTACTGTACTATACCAAGTAAGAGAGTAACAGACCCTTCAAAAAAAATAAGAGAGTAACAAACAGTACGCAGTTAGCTCAGCACCAGGGTAATATCGAATGAAATCATTCAACCAACGAGAAAGTTATGCACTAAGAAATAGTGCCATGTCCAGCGTACTGCGTGTAAGACATAAAACACAAATGGAACAGACATGGTCAATCGAGATCCGAAACAGTACAGGAGCACTCAATATCTTTAGAATTACAAGACAAGCTAATCTGCAACGAGTATCAAATTCAATCTTCAACATCCGTGAACATCCGGTGATTCTTACTCCTACCAGGCTACATATTCTACCAAAACCATGGAATCCCATCTCAAATCCCAGTTTCCTTCATATGTCACTTGAACAGCACCATGTATGATATTGCAAGAAAACCTTGTGCGGGACATGCTCTAGGAGCAGACAGGAAACTTATCTCGAAAGTTGCTACATCAGTCGATCTTCACAGAAGCATAGATCTTCCTCACAAACCAGAAGCAAGCATAGAAGCCAATGGTGCCGGTCAGGACGAAGAAGGCATAAGAAATGATCAGCATGTAACCAAAGTAGAGAATGCCTGAAACAAGCTTTGTGATCTCCAGCTTGTTGAAGAAGTAGAAGATAGCATAAGCGAAAAGATATAGAGCTGAAGAGCCTGCGGTCAGGTAGGCTCTCCACCACCAGTGGTAGTCCTCGCTGCATAGCTGGAAGTAGCAGAGCACAATTGTGATCTCAGCACAGGTTACCAGGAGAATGACGAAGACTATGAAGAGGAAGCCAAAGATGTAGTAGAACTGGTTCAGCCAGATAGATGTGAGGATGAAGAAGAGCTCAATGAAGACAGCACCAAATGGCAATATGCCACCAGCAAGTATGGAGAACGCTGGCTGCAGGTACCATGCTTGCTCGGGAATTTGCCTGGGAATCTTGTTTGTCTTGACTGGGTCCTCAATGGCTGGCTGCTTGAATCCCAAGAAACTTCCAACAAAGACCAGTGGCACGGAGATGCCAAACCAGAGAAGGACCAGAGCAAACATTGTCCCAAAAGGAACTGCACCAGATGATTTCTCACCCCAGATAAGGGCATTCAGGACAAAAAAGACCCCAAAGATTATACCAGGAAACATGAAGGCAGTTTTGAGGGTGATCTTCTTCCACTCAGTGCCCTTGAACATCTTGTAGAGGCGAGACGACGTGTAACCCGCCAATACACCCATGAAAACCCACAGAAGGACCATAGCAGTCATGAGTCCTCCACGGTTTGCAGGGGATAAGAATCCAAGTAGCGCAAACATCATTGTTACCACTGTCATGCCAAAGAACTGCACACCAGTTCCAACATAAACGCAAAGAAGGCCTGAATGAACAGGAGGCCTGAAGGCATCACCATGCACTAACTTCCATCCAGTTTCTTCCTGGGCCTCCTCCTGATTGTCAAGCTGATTATAGTTTGCTATGTCCTTGTAAAGGGTCCTCATCATAATCATGGCTATCATGCCAGAAAGGAAAAGGACAATCATCAAGGAGTTAATAATTGAGAACCAGTGGATTTGGCTGTCACTGGAAAGAAGGTAGACATCCCAGCGAGATGCCCATATGATCTCACTAGACTGCAGAAGATCAATTGTGAATTAATCAGCACGGCAGGAACATGAATGCCAGCAACAAAGGATGTGAAAAAGGTAATATACCTCAAAGGTAACGTCATAAGAGAATACAACATATGCATCAGGGGCCACCTCTTGAGGTGTGTGACTACCAGGAGTTATCTTCGTGTTAGCGTTGCAGGTTTGTACTGTAGGATTCTTGTCATCCCAGGCACCATATTCATGTTTAATGCTGCATAAAGATAGACAGTGAATAGGCAAGTTATGATAGGCACATGTACCTTCACATAAGATATAAATTTATAAAAAGCCAAGCACTAATTTCTAAATATTGGCTATGTTGAACATTTACTATGGAGATTAAACTATTTATGAAATGATCAAAACATTACATGAACAAAAATTTCAATTGGTTTCGGACTGTTCAGCTACGCATACCCATAACAAAACAAGATCAATTAGACCACGAGGCATGCTAAGTTAGACATGACTGAGTATACATAACATACCTGCTAGGAATCACATGGAAGCCAACAATACGAGCCTCTGGGGAGTTTAGGTCTTCATGGTACAAGACTTTAAAGCTCAAGTGATTGTTAATATAGTACTTGTCATCCTTGAGCTGCCAATGTTGTGCTCAAATTAAACAAGTTCCTTGATAAATGTTTCATGTTTCAGTGAGTAGCAATCGACTTGGTGAGATGCTCACCTTATAGCCAACGCGGTAACCATGATCAAAGATCGGTTGGCTCCCTTCCCGTGTCTGCCTAGGGACCACAACTGGGAGATTATCCAAAATCCTGATAGAAGGAAAGTACATTGACAGGCACTGTATTATAGCTTATGCGGAACATAACCACAATTCTAAACTTGGACCAGTATCATATGTAAGCCGGCTAGACAATCGTGTTAATCCTTTTTTGGCGGGGAACAGTCATGTTAATCAACTGGCAATACAACAACAACTTCAAAATCAGAACATACATATTCACTCGATATTCATCATCGATCTTCTCTCTGAAATTCTTTGCAGCTTCTGCAGACAGCTTTGTTCGACAAACAACTTTGCAACTCTCGTCCCTCCTCATCTTGAACTGCAAAAAGTTGGGAAATTGAACTTAAGTTAAAGCAATTTCATATTATGCTGTCATGCTCTCTACACCCTTGAACAAACAGGCAAAAAATCATTTGTAGAGTATTTAATGCAAAATACACAGGTAGTATACTTACATTATAGACAGAGTTTTCAATGCGGTCCCCACGAAGGACTTCCCCTAAGTTCTCAGCGCTGTTCTTAATCACCTCAGGTTTGCAGTAGTCCAGGAAATAATAGTCATATGGAAGTTGTGTCTTTATAGATGACAGCTTGTTGACCTTCACCTGGAGATCATCATCCTGCAATATGAACATTTAGTCAACCTTTGAAAACCATTGAGCAAACAGAGAATAGACAGGAAACAATGAATAAAACTTCCAGACAATCATATCTATATACCTAAATAG